GCAAAGTCGTATGTTAATGAGGAAAATGTAAACAATGACGTCAGCAAAGATTCGCCTATTGGGTATAGTTTGTTAAAATTAAACTGGGAAGAATAGTGAAACCTCACGCTGAACAATTACATGCTCACAATTGATCATTTTTAGAGTTTCTGAGCCAAGAAAAGCAAATCCCTTTTTTTCCTTTATGGTTGATTATTGAAATTAGGAGCTCCACTTTTAGGCTTGGCTAAATCTATATATTATTTAGAAAGATTCTCTCCCGGTAAAGTCGATCTGTTAATGAGAAACCTTATAAGCTGGGCTATTAAAACGAAGAAACAGCAAAGAATGAATTTGCGCTGAAGAAACTCGCTTATACAGTTCCATTTCTCATAAATCGAATGCATAAAGGTGAGCTTCGAAATGCAAAGAGTTTATGTTGCCTCTAATTTTAGCGACGACTTCAAGCTTCATGCATGACTGGTCACGCCACTCATGTTTGAGCCAATCATGAATGTCGTTATATCAAAAAACATAAGAGTAATTTATGCATTAAATTCGGCACATGAGGAAAACGCCGTATGAATCAGCCGCCGCTTCAAGTGGCATATTGCGGCAGACCCTGCCGAATTTAACGTTGTTTGCCGCTCCAAACCTAACCTGCCGAACCAAACCGATTCAAACTCCGCTCTTCTGGCGTACTTAACTCATCAGTTAGGTTTGGCGCATGAGTGGAGCAGCGTTTGGAACGGCCCTTAATCATTTCCGCAACCCTCACACCATTCCCCCTCGGCCACTTCCCCCTCAGCCAGTTCCTTCTTGGCCCTTCAAGCCGCGAACAGACCCTTCTAGCCGGTGCCTGTTCACAGGCTAGGTTCTTATTTGCGATTCGCGCCAAAAGTGATGAGTGGCGTGACTTGTAATTGGTGTCTACAATACAATACAATCAATACAATCCTTTATTTAACCACGCAACATTTAAGAGTAATAAAAACTCGTTAAAACATGTGCATGCTAAAAAAAATGGAAACAATAACATTAAACTTAACTAATACAAGCAATAAAAGTATTTTTTCTTAGATTACATTTTCGCGTTTTGTCTAGAATCAGAAACAATCGAACGTGTGTCCGTTTCTCCTGTATGTGTCGAATAGCCTGTTCCAGGCTCTCCGTCAGTGGGGACGATCGAAAAAGCGGACGGGCGACTACGCGGGCGACTAAACGGGCGACTAAACGTGGCTAAGCAAAATTGCTATTCAACGGGGTCGGGTTTGGTAGCAGTATTTGACCTACGAACCTCAGCTCACTTCGATAAGAAAATATGGGAAAGCTTAGTCATGTCCCTTTCAGGCGATCTATTCTTCATTTTAGTGATGTTTAAGCGTCGTATAACGAAAAACCTCTGAGGGAAAAAACAACTAAGACAATTCAGTTCAAGGGCTAACGTGAAAAGGGCAATATGATGGTTAGCGAAGCTTCGGCATTAATTCTTCTTTATCTTTTCAATGACTGAATTACGGACTTATCTGGTTGAATAGTTTTATTCGAAATTTGGACGATAAGCACGCTAAATTAAAAGTAGCAAACTGCCAAGCAAAATCGTTTTCCGTTCCTTATTTTGTTGAGCACTGTATTAGTTTTTTTCGTTTGCGATCTTCAAATTTGTCCCCAGTTTTCCTTTTTTATTAGCAGCGCTGACAGAATCAAAACGCGACGTTGAAGCTTTCCATCTGAGCCACTGAAGCTTTCCGTTGTTTTATCTAAAATATAGATACAGCGGATTCCAGTCGCAATCAGTGGACTGTCATTATTATTCACTGTTATAGTGTAAGGTTTGAAGAGTAAAAGATCACAAAGCACACTGTGACATTATACTCGATACGTAGTCATTTGTCGTTATTCGTTTTTAGCCACAAAGCACTGTGTGGTAACCTAAAGGACAGTTTACTTTGAAAACTGGATGCTTCGTCGAAACTCATTAGAATTATTTTAAAAGACCAAGTCCAAGCACTTTGCGGCTTATCGAAACACAACAAGGCACTTTGTGGCGTAATCAAAAGGCCATAAAACACTTTGTGGCCCAAGCCAAAAGCCACAAAGCGCCTTGTTACACAGGCTTGATTACCAGCCTCTGTTTCGGGGAGGCACGCGGACCAGAGAGAGCGGCGGAAATCGAGCCAACTTGTGACATTGAATCAGCTTTCAGTTTGCGGCAACCTAATCAAAGCGACTTACGTTGGCCTGTCAACTAAATCAACTGTTTCAACTGAAGGAAATGATTAAGGTTGAGGCTCTGTGGAAAAAAGAACCGGTGGGGAATGATATTTGCAAAAAAGAAAATAATTGGGCCCTTTAGGTATGCCCAATATAAGTTGGACTTGTGGGATGGACCACACTGATAACTGTTCTTTTTCCACAAAAAAGTTATCTTTTCTCCTGCCCTCGGTAAGTTCCAATCTTTTCTTCTCACATCACCTGTAGGACTCTATTAAGGGAACACCTCTAGTAGGCGGGCATTAGCGAGGGTCTTACAGGTGTCCGCTTTAGCCGGCTTTAAAATTGCCATAGTCGTCGTCGACCTCTTCATCATCAACATTATAATTTTACGGCCAAACCACTGTGTTTTATGGCAGTCCTAAATTTGAAATTTACGTAAAATAATGTGATTTGAATTGATTTAAAAAGTGAATTTACTTGCACCAATTATATTAGAAATATCTTGGCTACAAAAAGTTAGAAATCGTTTATATCACTGGTGGATATCTCTGTGGACGCGACTCTTCCTATGGGCTGCAATATATATCTGCTAGCACGAACTAGAAAACGTAAAGACCCCGAAACATTGGTGTGAAACTGTTACTGCGTGACTTTAAACAAGCGCGCATGATAAACATGTTTTACAAAATGGACGAGTAACCAGGATAAGTCATATTTAAAATTTACAAACGTTCTCAGGTTAAAACAGTTTAAAATCACTTGCGTTTGATCGGTAGTCTGCAATCTTTGACAAATAGCGGATAAAAGGCGCGATCGTTAAAATATATACGGTGAAAAGTGCGAAGTAGAACAAACTACAATAAGAACCAAAAAGTACTTGTGAGGAACTAAAATGCTAATATGGGGTTCATAAAAGAATGGTAATGGTTTTGAGTTATTGTCCGATTCAATTGTGATTGTGGTATGCCTGGATTCCAATGTTTTCCTCACGCGAAAAGTTCCCTTGTCGATTACATGGGCGTTCATTATTAAAGTGGCCATTCAGCCATGCGTGAGTGGCAAAGTTTGAACCTTTTTTTTGATAGGTTTTTGTGTTCCTAATATTTTTCTGATTTACACTGCAACTTTTAGTATTGTTTTATTCCAGAACTATTTATTAACTCCCACTAAAATGGATTTTTCCCCTCTCCCACCCCACTTCTCTAGAAAAAGATTTTGGCTTTTAAACACCCTCCTCTCCTCTCCTCTCCTCTCCTCTCCTCTGTTCTCCTCACATCCTAACTATTATTATTGTTTTGTTCCAGAAAGTTTAAGAAACCCCATAGTATTGTCTTTTTCGCCCAGGCTGCAGTTCTTCAACAACAGTTGCAGGTTTTTCCTTGCTTTGTTTTGTGCCATCTTTCCTCTCCATTTGTTACCGTTCATTTTGCCAGTTCGTATGTTTCGCTTGTCTTCCTCTTGTGTACTTTGGCTTATGTGGAGGCGGCGTGGCCGAGTGCTTTAGGGCGCTGGATTTGAAATCTGGAGGTCCCTGGTTCAAATCCTCCACCCTACCGCTGTTTGGATTTGTTCTCAGTAGCCCCGAGTTCAACTCCTTGACCGCGTTGTGTAAATATCCAACTGGTCAGCCTCTAACCAGTTGGGATTCTTAATAGTTTATGTTATATTTGAAATCATAAACACTCTTGTTCTTTGGCCATTTCAACTTAACAAGAAATAAAATGCAAACAGCGGCAACAAACATAACACATGAACTACGCATGTACCTGAAGCCTGTGAAAGGAACCTCTTTCAGGCAGAGCCTCCCCATATAAGCCATTATAGAAAGTACCCCCAGGGGGATTAGAGCACTAATCCAAATATGACATAATTTAAATATAAGCCTTGACATTATGTGAAGTGTCTTCATTCTATAGACACCAAAAAAAGGTGTCCAAGAAAAATGTCAAGTGTTCATGGTTCAAATGCTTTCTGAGATAGATCTTTAAAATTGGTCCTTGTTGATGCATTTTAGATACCAGCAATCTTGATGATTTTCTTCTGAAATGTGCTATTGACCAAAGCCTGAGTACTCAGGAGGCTCCTGTCTATGATGCTGTAGAGTCCATTAAAGAAGTCCCACCAAAGTCCTTGGAAGAAGCATTTGAACAAACCTTGAATGGTTTTCCAAATGAGCAGTTTACTTTGATTGAAATAACTAGAAAGGATATAGTAACTAGGACATTTGAATGCATTGAAGATGAAGATCTTAAAATAAGGGTTTCAGTTAAGTTCATTGGGGAAGATGCAATTGACTCAGGAGGGGTAACAACGGAATTCTTTTCGGAACTTTTTCGTGGGTTTGTGTATATAGTATACTGGTTAGGGGCAATTATCCTCGTATCACCTTCCGACACAACCTCAAAGCTGTGGCTAAAGGTCTTTTTGAGACATTTGGAAAACTTGTTGCTATTGCACTTCTAAATGGTTGCCCAGGGACTCATTTCTTTACACCAATGGTAGCAGGGTTTATATTAGACATCCCTCAAGAGCCACACTTGACTGAGGTTCCATATGAATGTGAGTTCCTGACCCAACTTACCAACATTTCTACCTGTAGTGATGAAGCATCATTTATCAGTGCTGTCAATTCCTTCCCTGAATGCTTTGATATGGGTTACACAAAAGTAGCAGTAACATTTGAGGACAAGAATGAGCTTTTGAATGCTTGTGTCAAACATGTAGTATTAAGTAGTGTAGCCAAGGAAATTTACAGCTTTAAAAAGGGTTTAGCTTCATTTGGGGTTTTGGAGTTTTTGTCTAAATATCCGAGTGATGGCATTAAATATTTAATGAATGTAGAAGTTTCTGTAGAAGCTGTGAAAAGCTGCTTTGTTCCTTGTTTTTCCTCTCCAGGGTTTGAACTTCATGAGAGAGAAACAGAAATTGTATACAACTGGCACAGTTTCCTGATGAGTGTCAGTAGGGGAAAATTGAAATGCAATGTTATCCCTTTTACCCAGCCATCTATTACTGGTACTGATGATAATGATGATTTTAAACATGATAATTCAGAACTCAGATATCTCACCTTGAGTGATGTGTTGCAGTTTGGAAGTGGATCTTGCTTCCCCAATTTCTCAGGGAAATACATACATACATACATACATACATACTTTATTTGCAACTCCCCAAAGGGGCTTTTCAGTTACAAAAGGAATAAAAAAGATAAAAATATGTCAATTAAAATGAATAAACAAACTGGGTAAGGAGTCTAAAACTAATTACAGTATTAAAGATTTAAAAATTTACAAAGTTTAAAATTGAATATTAAGAATTTACATTATTAACATTTAAAATGTTTGGTCAAGTGTCCCTTAAAAGCTTTCACAGAAGGTAAACTTTTCAAATCATCACTTAGCTCATTCCAGATTTTTGCTCCGCGATATGCAAATGATCTTTGTCCGGTAGCCAGTCGGCAACGTGGAATGTTTAAGTCATTACTCTGTCTGGTGTTTCTTGTAGCAATTTGAGATCGGAAAATGAATTTATCAATCAAGTAGTCTGGAACAAGATTATGAATACATTTGAAAGTCATCACAGAGTCATTTATGTAGAGTCTATCGCTGACCTGCAGCCAATTCAAGGATTTGATGCCTTGTGAGATATGGTCGTACTTACGCAGTCCCAATACAATACAGATTGGAAACTACAGACTGGTTTGATCACGAGAGTGCATCCACTGAAAAACAAATCAGTGGAAATACATGTGCTCTTTCTATAACTATTCAAGTGAACAAGAGGTATACTTGTAATAGTAATGAGTTTGCCCAGAAGCTCATGGAAGACATTTTTGAGGCTTATGGGTTTGGCTTACCTTAAGAATAATAAAAAGAAGTGTTTTGCTGAAGCTGACAAAATGCCTTGCACAATACTTCATAATTTTCAGATACATGTGTCTTCATGTACTTTATGAGGAATGATGGGTCATATGACAATACTGTTGTTTAATGTTGACATTTCACTGTTATGCCAGACTCAAAGCTGTAGGCCTATAGTTTCGTATGCCTTGTTTTACAAGGTTTAAATATAATTTAGTATACACTGTAGATGTTTAATTCATCATCCAAAAGTAGTGTATATGTTAAATTATAAAATGTTCAGTTCCTTAACAGTTGTACTATCATCTAAATTTCCTCTCCAGTATTTTGGAATTTTAATGTTGTAACCTCATGATGAACTTTTGTGTTGACACCCTCATCAGACTGTCAATGTTGATGTTCTTGGTACCACATGATGTAAGATTTATTGGGAGGATACAGCAATAAAGTTGTTGCCATTTCAGAAAACTTATTGAAAAACTTTTAATCTTGATAGACATAACGTGGTTTAATCTCAGAACAATCAATACCCCCTACCAATTTTAAATTGGTATTTCTTGTCAGTTATTTGATACTTTATGTCATTGATTCGAGTTGGTTGATTACTGACACTATATTGACTATAACAGGAATGATTAACCCTTTCATCTGTAACTTTAAAATATCAACTTGCCTTTCCAATCTTCACACCTGCCTAAATCCGTGTTATGTAAGGGATAAATACTTGATTTCAGGGGCCACATGCTTGACTTTGTAATGGCATGTTATGGAGAAGACATACAGTATGTACGCTAATTACTCTAAGATACTTGGAAGAAACACCTAGAAAGTTCAACATACACTATATCTGGCATGCATTGTCTATCCCCACATGGTCATGGGAGTTACAAGTGTCAAAGGCTGTAGTGAAATGAAGAAATACCAACAGTGAAGTGGTTTAGTTAGGATAACAAGTACCGGTAGTAATTAAAAAATCCTCAAGGTATTAGCCTGTATCTCGATAACTTTTTGTGCAAACTTTTCTTGGCGTTCTCAGAAGAGCTAGAGGTTGCACTGACTGTAATATTTATGCTTGTTTTGGAAATTGAGATCCTTAGATCATTAATGCACATGTTTCCCAAAAGGTTACTCAACCTTTTGCAAACTGGACAAGTTTCTGAAATAGATTTCCTGCCTCCAGAATAGAGGTGGGGTGTGACAAACCTGAACCTTGCCTGAAACTGGACACAAGCAATCAATTCGCCCAAATTCTTCTGGAAGAAAGTACATCATATCGGGCACACCTGACACGGTAACATGCTTTGACTTCCTGATGCAATGAGAATTCCAGCCATCCTTTACTTTATCAAGATCATCCTGCAAGACATCTGCAAAGGAATACCAAAGTGCTTCTCTGTGTATCTGACTGATGAGGTCGAGGATGTCAGATTCATGCAAGTCATTGAAGAAATCAATCCACCAACTTGCCCACTCTTTTCTGTAGTGTGACCAGTAACCTTCAATTCTTTGGTTCCTGACGCTTGTTATGTATTTGTGAGCTCTAGAACCCACATATTCATCAACTCCTTCTGCGCATAAGTAGCACTGCATTGCAGCAATCAGTCCGTTTTCAGTTCCACCATCAGTGTACACACGTGCTGGACATCCATGTGCTGCTTTCGCATTATCCAAGAAATATCTTGCCATCGGCCACAGATTCTTGTTCGACCTTTGAACTTCTCACCATAGAATTCTCCAGCTAAAGCCATCTACACAGCCATGAATAGAAAAGCCAAATGGCTTAAGTTTGTCATATCCATCTAAGTGCCAACAAAAATTAGCTCCTGGTGACACATAAGTTCTCCAGTGAAGGCACTTACGTTTTCTCAGGTCCACTCCACAGGGATCAACTTCTCTTAAAAGTGATTCAACCAACTGTCGGGGAACATGAATGTTATGTCTAAGGCGCAGCACATGCCACATGGTTCTATAACCACTGAGGCTGTCTGGACCAGTACAAATTTCAAGCAAAATCAAATCCCTTATGCATTCAACAAGATCATCATTCACCGTATCCCGTTTTCTCAGACCATAGTCTTTGAGCCTTCTTTTCAATGTTCGTTCATTTGTCTATACCATGATGCTTTCCTAACATCAGCGCTATATATCTGTACGTAAGGCCTCTGTTGAAATAATATTCAATAAGCTCTCTTTCTGATCCCCGTGGCAAATCTTCATGTTCAATTTCAGCTTCTACATCACTCAAATCGTTCTCACTGGACGCCATGTTAATAAAATTGAAATATGGCAGGAAAGGACTCTGTCCCAGGCCTCATGTCTACCTGCGCACGCATACATTCATATTTTTGTTTGTTAGCAGGACTTTTTATTCGCAGTGAGCAGTATATTTTTTCTTGCAGTGTGTACTGGGTTTTTTGTCACTCGCAGTGTGCAAAACTTTTTTGTTTGCAATGGAACAATATTCTGTGCATAGTAGGCCATTTATTATTTATCTATTTATTTTCTTTGCAGCAGGCAAGTGTTTCACTTGAAGTGCATACATTTACTTTGTTTGCAGTGCAGAATTTTGTTTTATTTGCAGTGCACACATTTCTTTTGTTTGAAGCGTGCACTTTTTTCTTTGCAGTCCACTTTTTTTGTCCATCGTAGTCCAAAAATATATTTTGTATGTAGTGTGCGAGATGTTTCTTTTCTTCTTAGTGTAAAGTATTTTGTATGCAATAAAATATTTTATTTACAGCACTTTCTTTGAAATTAATTACTTTAATTTCCACAAATTTGTTCATTTTTTAATTTGAAGTTCTGTCCCTTATGGGCCACTGTATATTTGATAATCCTCGCAAGCTGTGTACCCCTATAGGACACTCGCCAAACTTGTTAAATGATTTAACTACCTTATTTTTTCAGCATTGTCAACCATAATGTTGTATCACACCTCTACTAAATTTTTAATTACATTTACCTCAAAGAAACTGCCATACCTGCAGTACATTCCAATATAAGAATAAGCAATCATTTTTAGGGCAAAATGATTTAAAACAGAATGGAATCCCTCCAAACAACTTGTTTGTGCTAAGGGAAAAGCCTGCTTGATTCCTTTCATCAGATTAACATTAGTAAGTGCACTGTGCAATTTTTCGTAGGCCACAGAACCTAAGAAGAGTGAAAACATTGTATCAATTTGGGAGATAGGGTATTATAAAGCAAACCTATCATGACAATGGGCAGACCCTAGGAGGGGGTTGCAAATATCTCCAGCAATACTTGATAATTTATGAATTTATTTTGTTTTAGCTAGATATTATTTTGCTAACTCAAATTATACAAATACATGTACCTACCCAATTTTAACCATTTTCAAGGATGGATCACACAGGGAAACATTTGCTGAATAACACATCACTGAAGTTTGAATGCTTATTAACAATGTGACTGAGGAAAAAGGTGAACTTAGCACAGATGACTTTCCCATTGCCACTAAATGTTGTGGTAGCACTCCAGTAAAGGTGTTTCTCACATGGTCTGATCCATTCAGCCAATGACCCGCAGTCTTTTTCTCTTGAGAGCTTTGAGAGGACCTTTCAGATTTCTATGAAGAAAATATTATAAATTAGCCTCTACACTGCTTAATGCATTTGATCTATGATTTCCACTTAGATATTATTCTGATTAATATGAGACCATCAAAGCAAAGTTACAATGATACAAAATTAATTTCAATTCAATTGTTTAAATAAAACCTTAATGTAAATCATAGTTCTCATGAAATTATGTTAGGTAGCATGCAGAACCTTACTTTTTTTCAGATGCCATCTGTCAAAGTAGTGAGTTATTTTTGTCAGACATCCTCATATGAGCTGGAATGGAGACATGTCTGTCAGAAACAAATGCCATCAATAGAAGACCATATCCAATTAAGTACTCCATGCAACCCTGAAAACCCATAAACGTCATTGCTGGGCTGCTTCCAGCTTGGTTTCTCTGTTGATAAAGTAATCAGAGGCTCCCTGAGCCAGCTCATGGATGAACAGGCCAATCCCAAGTTTAACTTTGCCTCTGTGGCAAAAGGAGTGTTTGTGCGAAACTATTCATATGAAAAAGTATGTCGCCTGAATGAAAAGGAAGCAAACAGCAACTCAGAAGTGGAGTTAAGTCTGCATATGTGCCAAGTCGCCCATCAGGCCAGAGCTTATTACAGTTTCTGTAGCATGAAGCAACTAGGAGTATTTCTACTACCCCCTGGATGGGATGCTAGTCCATAGCAGAGTTACCCCCAACATTAAATTTGCCAGTACCTATTTATATGCCTGAGTGGTTAGAGGCACTGTGAGAGTAAAGTGTCTCACCCAAGAACACAATACACTGTTCCCAGCCAGGGCTCGAACCCAGACTGCTCAAAATAAAAAGAAATACAAAATCAAATAACAGGTTGTTTACACAGACTGCTTATAACTTTTAAAATGGATGATAATTAATTTTGATTGGAACTGGAACATTGTTATTAAATTAACTTGTACATGATGTAGTGTCAAAGAATAACAACAGTCTGTTTCAAAATGAAATCATTAAATGAGATTTCACCATATTCACCAGTTAGTCCAAAATTGAAACCTAGTCACTGAAGTTGGTTACAATATACATAATATTAGGGAGTCGGCTGTGCATTATGGGTCAAGGTAAATTGGTTATGGTCCTTGTTCAGTTAACATTATGAAACAACTGAGTATAACAATTATGCAAAAATTATACTACATGAGTTAAACATTTATTTTAGACAATCAACTTGAGAATGCCAAGACTGCCAAGAGTATTTTGCCTGAACTTCGCTTGAGTGAGACATGGATATTGGCAAAATCTTGTTTACTTAAAGCTATGTCAAATATAAACAATTTGATTTTAGCTTGCTGATATATTTCTTCAATATTATAAAAAAGGGCACCTTAAGTCAACTATAGGGAGAGGTCCCCCAGCTGGGTCCAATCAATAATAAGGGTACTACACATTGTAGTGTATGCAAGTAAAATAACAATAGTTTTCTTTCTTGGAAACACAGATCACGATATTTTACTCCTGTATATCTTGGTGATTGTTTGTGTTAATCTCACTAGCAATGCAGTAATATTCAAAAGGATTGCAGATACGTCTCTTCTAATAGATTTTTGCAATGATTACAGAACATACTTATGTTGACAAGTATCAAGCATTATCTTCTCCATAATAATTTCAAGTTTTGATTTCAATTTGTTTAAGTCTCTCATTTCTAGAGGTGAAAAAAATCTACATCACCAGCCACCATGCGTCCGGCTTATGTTTGACACAATTGAACAGCATATCTCTCTCGCAAGAAGTAGATCTACACAGTCTCTTGGAATTAATTTGTCCATCCATGATCACTAAAACATTTAGGAGTATATTTACTTGATCATATATGTAGGTTGACTTGCATACCATCTCTGAAGAAATTTTCCCTTTGGTCGAGCTGCATGGAATGAATACAAAAGAAATGAAGTGTGAACGACAACAAAACTAAAAGATAAGGCTATTTGAATTTCTTACTTGAAGTATTTTAAAATAAGCTTACAAATTTTGAACTTCGGCCAGATACTAATAACACGGGCAGAATTCAATGTTTGTATACAAAATAAAACAATAACAAGACAATGAAACCAAAACTTTACAAGAACTTAAGCTTACCTTGGACTCCACAAGGAGAGAAGAAAGCGAGTGGAAACCATCAAATTACTTTGCCAAGAGAAGAGAGCATGCGTGCAACCGTAGAGTTCGAACGCAACTTTTGAGCGGAGCCCAACTCCGTCCTAAATTCGAGCAAAATTTGCCATACGAGGTAAATATTTAAGTATGCAACACCAATGAAAAAGTCAGGAGGTAAACACAAAAGAGGTGAACGAGGTTCCACTGAAGACGAATCAAACTCGGCCAAGAAACCCAACATGGATGCGACTAAGTGTGCCAGCGATAAAGATGGTGGCAAAGGTGACGAAGAATCAGAGGTCCAGTTCTACACCTCGCCCCAGTCTCTTTCGTCCACCGACGTCGCTGTCGCTATGAAAACTCTTGGTGCTAAAGGTCCCTAACGTTATGTCTGAGGCGCAGCACATGCCACATGGTTCTTTAACCACTGAGACTGTCTGGACCAGTTCAAATTTCAAGCAAAATCAAATCCCTTATGCGTTCAACAAGATCATCATTCACCGTATCCCGTTTTCTCAGACCATAGTCTTTGAGCCTTCTTTTCAATGTTCGTTCATTTATATCTATACCATGATGCTTTCCTAACATCAGCGTTATATATCTGCACGTTAGGCCTCTGTTGAAATAATATTCAATAAGCTCTCTTTCTGATCCCCGCGGTAAATCTTCATGTTCAATTTCAGCTTCTACATCGCTCAAATCGTTCTCACTGGACGCCATGTTGATAAAATTGAAATATGGCGGGAAAGGAATTAGTCCCAGGCCTTATGTCTACCTGCGCATAAATTCATATTTTTGTGAGCAGGAGTTTTTATTCGCAGTGAGCAGTATATTTCATTTTTTGCAGGGTGTTCTGGGTTTTTTATGTCACTCGCAGTGTGCCAGACTTTTTTGTTTGCAATGGAACAATATTCTGTGTATAGTAGGCCATTTATTATTTATCTATTTATCTATTTATTTTCTTTGCAGCGGGCAAGTGCTTTACTTGAAGTGCATACATTTACTTTGTTTGCAGTGCAGAATTTAGTTTTATTTGCAGTGCATACATTTCTTTTGTTTGCAGCGCGCATTTTTTCTTTGCAGTCCATTTTTTTGTCCATCGCAGTCCAAAAATATATTTTGTATATAGTGTGCGAGATGTTTCTTTTCTTCTTAGAGTAAAGTATTTTGTATGCAATAAAACATTTTATTTACAGCACTTTCTTTGAAATTAAATGCTTTAATTTCCACAAGTTTGCTCATTTTTTAATTTGAAGTTCTGTCCCTTATGGGCCACCGTAAAACAACATATCTTCCTTGCATTGTGCGATGATTTTGACACACACTATCGCATGTTCGCATACATTCTTCTCAGAAACAAAACATTGTTATTCCCGAAGTGACGTCCAAAGCCAACTCGTCCCATTCTCCGCTATTCCTCGGTCGTGAACATGGAAAAGGGCAAATTTACAAACTTTAAAAATTCATAGAAAATTAATGAAAATAGCTACAACGATAATTTTTTCGCAGTGGTGATCAGGAGAAAAAGGAAATTTATATTAGCGAGAAAAAAATTTTGGGGCTAGTGGCACTTTAAATAAAAGACGGATGTCCCCTGCACAAACAATAACAACTGAATGAACGGCAGCGACGTTTAGACAAACGAGTGTAAAGCAAACAAACGCCCAAACACAAGCTAGGCAACCGAACAAACAGATGGTCGAGAGTATAGGCAGACGCTCGCTGTCCAAGTAGTAAAAAGCAGTTTAAGCAGCAACGGCAACAACGCCAGAGACAATGTTGATTAAAAAACGACTTAATATTCAACCTACGAATCTCGCGAGAATTTAGATTCATTCAGTCTGTCTATACTGTCAGAAATATCCCAAACAGAATATGTAAGACCACTTCAAAATTCGATAGAGAA